AGGAGTTTATGGAAAGATAAGCAGAACACCTTATGGAAGTTTACATCTCCTTCCTTACTGGTGTTATAAAACTTGCCCAGAGGTGGCGTTGAACCACGGATCTCTAATTTCTGAGGCAAGAGCGCTAACCACTGCGCTACGGCTACTCTTATAAGGAACCCATTAATTTAAGCAACCCCTAATTTAAGCAACACTTTACTCTAAACAACGCGTGTTTTTGAGCACAGTTCTATTAATTATGGAAAACGTGAAGATTCTTTTTTGGTGCATGAAAATTATTTAGTTAAGTATAGTCATAAGAAATAGTTTTGTTTATCTATTATTTAAATTTATTAAAATTATATTTTAATAAATTAAATAACTCAAATTTAGATTATTGGCGTACACCGAATTTAACTGAATAACAAATTTAGGGCTTTTATACAAAATAACTATTTTCAGTCTGTATTTATGGTTAAACCTCGAGTTCAAATGGCAAATTTCGGTGACCGAACTCAAGCAAAGTGCAAGTTAATTGAAGCTACAATCACTCAAGCAGTCGTACAGCAAAAGCTTGAAGAGCTAATAAAAAAAATCTAAAGGCTATGATGGAATACCACCTCGTGTCTTTTGCAGTCGTGTTGCTGCAATCGTTAACAACTGTCTATCGCAAGCTCGTCTTCGAAGACAAAGTACTCAACCTATAAAAACTTTTGAACATAACACCAATTTGCAACACTGGTAGCAGAAAAATGCCCTCAAATTTCAGACCGATGTCACAAAAATCAGTACCGTCCAGAACAATGGAGAACTTCATTTACAAACGAATTTTGAAGCACTGCTACAACAATGGTCTATTCGTAAAATCTCACCATACCTAATACCTAATACCATAACCTAAGCTAGACTCCAGATCTAATCTACTGAAAGCGCGTGACATTCTGAGGAACGCAGTACACCGTGTCTATGCCATAGACGTGATATACACTGAGCTTGTAAAAACTTTCGATATAGTGCCGCAAAAAAGACTAAAAGCCTACAGCATATGTGGCTCACTATTCTGGTAGATTGCAAACTAGCTAAAAAAAGGCTTTTATATCTATATCACATTTAACTTATTCCACCTCAGTAAATTGGCAAAAGCCATAAAAACAATTATTAAACAATTATTTAGGTCAAAAATTTAACATTATTTTAAGTTGCAAATAATGCCTCTTATAAGTAAAAACAGCAGTCCACATTTTTTTAAGATAAAGAACTCCCCTGAATTTTAATTTTTTTGTAAAAAATAAATTTCCTCAATGCAAGTTTAAAAAAATAAAATAATAAATTTTACAAAACTTTTTTTATTCCACACTAAATATGATGAATTAACTACTCCCAAAAGCCGATCTTCCCAACATATATAATATATCAATTCATGATCTTAAAACTAGGGATGTTCCAAAGCTTCGGCTTCGGCCGAAGCCAGGGTCAGTTTTCTTTAGGTAATTAAAGGTAATATGCTTCTTTTATATTAAACTTAAAATAATTTTATTGCTTACAATATAATTACTAAAATTCTACTACTTGTAATTTATTCCTTTACTTTGATTTCTTGACGTATGCCGCGGCATACGTCATGCCTGCTTATCAAAATTAAAATGTATGCCTGCTTATTAAAATTAATGGGTAATTTTTTATATTTTATTTAAGTTTTATGTTTAATTTTATTGCGCTGTTATATTTACTAAACCTATTTTTACTGTAACTTGTATTTAGTTTTTTTGCGCTTGGAACGTACGCTAAAAAAATTATTTCTTATTTTCCACTCAAAAACATGAATAATAAATGATTTTATAATTACAGAAGCAGATAACATGCAGAAAATCAATAGCAGAATGCTGCAATAATTGTATGCATACTAAAATACTTTGAAAGCGCTACGAAAGGTAAGAGCAGACAAATCAGAGATCACACAGTTTCTTGACTATGCTAGGGACAAATCAACTGGAATCAAAACTGTTGTTAATGAACTTAAAACTGATTTTAAAAATCATTTTCATTAATACAACGATAATGTTCGTCTGAAAATTGCAATGATTCTCAAACCCCGCTTCAAATAAATTTTTTTAAAGAAACAGATCATAGCAAGTTTAAAGAAATTTATATCAACGGTACTACCGCTTTCATTTAGAGTATCGATACTCTAAATCAAAGCAGTAGTATCCTTGATATAAATTTTGCTTGCTTGTTGTAAATGATCATTTACAACAAGCAAAAGAAGTTAATTTCGTTAAAGACTCGTGATGGTCCAATCAAAAAAGAAAGCATGTGCATGTACAGCTTCTTAGACTAAATGGGTATAAATGAAAATGCTTCACAGAAATGTGAAAACACTGATGGAGGGGGGAAAACACTGATGGAGGGGGAAAAACACTGATGGAGGGGAAAAAAAGTATAATATTAAAAACTCTAGAGGAAAAACTCAAAAAAAGGAAAATCGTACGAATAAAAAATATCTAAATAAAATTGTAATTTTTTTTTATTTATGACAAATTTAAATAAAAATTGATGTTAATTTTCAAATTAATTATTATGTTGCATTCAGCCCTCTTAAAAGAAATTTATTTACACTGTAAATAAATTTCTTTTAACAGGGCTGAATGCAATTGCATGAATGCAATCTGTAAATTACAGGTTTTTTTGCACACCAGAATTGTTGTAGACAAAATTATATTATATTTATATAATGGAAAGATTACTGCTAGCAAGCACAAACTATATGCAGACAGGCCGTGTATTCCTGTAGTGATGGGTCTGTTTGCATTTAAAAATTTTAATTTTTCATTCAAAACATAATTATTTATCAACTATAAATGTTTATTTATAAGTTGATTAATAGTATTCTTTTTTCCGTACTTGATTAAAGATTTAAAATATTAGTTTAAACTTTAAATTGATTCATAGTTTTGATTCAACATGGACGAAGTCAACTTCAACTTTAGCCTACCAACATTACCAAAAAATAAATGCCCTTATAAGTGGTGGGTGTTTACAATTGCACCTGCTCCGATAAAGACAATAAAAAGTTGGATTTGGTAAGGTTCTCAATGAAAATTTTGTGCGCTCCTCCCAGCTAGCACAAAATGTTCAAAGAACGTTTTGCGCTAGGTGTTTCTTGAACGTTCGAACGTTCTTAAACGTTGCGAACGTTCAAGAACGTTCTACAAACGTTCAAGAACGTTCTATGAACGTTAATAGAACGTGATTAAACGTTCACAACATTCGTCGAACGTTTTGTGCTAGCTGGGAGGTGCGCACAAAATTTTCATTGAGAACCTTTTGTGTTAGCTGGGCTCCTTCTTCCGTTAGGAGTGAACCTCTGTTCAGCACGAAAGGAAACATATTTTAAGCCAAAAGAAACAGGCTCTTGCCTGAGCATGGAGAACAGAATACGTTTTTAAACTAAAGTTTGCCTGATTTCTAATGGATAATTAATTTAAACGTAATAAACTAATAAGTATTATAAAAACAACTTCCCTCGTTTATTATTGTAATTTCTAAATGGTAATTTTATTATAATCCAAAGTACAAACTAATGTAAACTTGACATTGTTTATAATATAACTTTAAAATTTAGACTTGATTAAGTTGACGAGAAGTTAGTTTTATAATCTACACCCTAATTTAACTTCTAATTTGTAATTAGTAATATCTAGTCATTTTTATCTTCAAGTAAGATTAAATTTGTTCAAGCAAGGCATTGCTACATCCTAAAATCCTATGACATTGCGTAATTGCGTAAAAAAACCTTGATGATTTGTTATAGTAAAATACCTTGTGCGCTAAAATACTTTTAATTGCAGTACATATATTTTACAATATGCAGTACATATAAGAGCTGTAGTAAAATGTTATAAATTGTTTTTCAGCAAATGGTATTATCACTAGATAGCTAGATCTGCAAGGTAGCAAATTTATCTAGGTAAGTGCAAAAGCTTCAGCTTCGGCAGAGTCACTTCGGCCGAAGCTTTGGCTTCGGCAAAATCTTAGCTTCGGTACATCCCTACTTAAAACACGACAGTTTCAATGTGATTTATTAGAATTGAAGTATTTTAATTTCAAAAATCATCTGTTTAAACATGAAAAAAATTTTTGTCTTTTTAATTTTGTCAGATGGCACTTTTGTCCACTTAGGCCTTTAATTATGTTGTTAGAAAGTTTTAGAAAGTTTTTGTAGTGCATCATTTTTTATTTGGGTTATTAAATTTTTAAAAAGTATTAAAAATTACTTTTGCGAAAATTGAAACCAACCCATTTCAAAAACTGTTTATTTTTTTTTACCAGTAAGCTTTTTTTCCAGTTGATCCAGGAAAATAAATACTTTTTGTGGTTAGTTTGTATATGTGTAATTAATATGAGTAGCTGAAAGTTTAATATATATATATATATATATATATATATATATATATATATATATATATATATATATATATATATATATATATATATATATATATATATATTTATATATATATATATATATATATATATATATATATATATATATATATATATATATTTATATATATATATATATATATATATATATATATATATATATATATATATATATATATGTATATATATATATATATGTATATATATATATATACATATATATATATATATATATATATATATATATATATATATATATATATATATATATATATATATATATATATATATATATATATATATATATATATATATATATATATATATATATATATATATATATATATATAAATATCCTCCCATACATAATTTCATTTTTAAACTTGTTAAAAAAATGTTGTTAAATATTGTTAACAACATTTTTTTTTAAAAGTTTAAAAATCCAAACTTTTGTTTGGATTTTTAAACTTTTTTAAAAAAATGTTGTTAATAATTGTCCAGAAATGAACTTTATGGATTCTGTTAAGACATGGTGCGTCTATTAGCATCTCAAATCACAAAACCAAACAACCCGTAAAAAACGGCCCAAAATACGGGCCACACAATAAAAAATCTAACAAAGAAAATTAAAAATTTAACAAAATATTTATTTCTCTAAACTCAAGTGAAATTTGAGATTTAGCTATCATTTTATTTATATCCACATGGATGGTTTTGGACGTAGTTTGGTAACTATTTATATATTTTTTAATTTTATCATAAATTATAATAGAGTTAATTTTAACAACGAAAATTTTTCAGATAGACAAAGGCTGCTTGAAATTAAAAACTTTCTAAAATATTTTTCTTCTTGTTATCAACTTAAGTTGTTGTAATTAATGTTTCAAACCTTAATTCTTTACTTTCTAATATCAAAGTTTTGTTGAACTTACTTATTTATAATTACCTATTTGAAGGTCTTTATCTTGAATCTGAAAGCAAATATATCTTGAAGAAAATATCTTGAAGCTGAAAGCAAATGTTGTTGTTGAAGCTCTGTTGTTATGTTATTTCCCTGTAAATTTTAAAATAAAAAAGTTGTACTTTCGGGCACATAAAAATCATGAAATAAAAGGCTTTTGTCTTCACTGTTGATTTATGTATAGGTTATGTGCACTTATTAGAGACATAGCAGATTCAAATCAGTAAAACTATTTTATATTTAAAAGTAATTTTTCACTGTAAATGTTACATAACTACTCACTTTAAGCAACTATTGTAATTTCTAATATGTTGTTATAATAAATAATAATTATATTAATAATAATTTTCTAAAAAAAAAATCAAACCTAAATTGCTTGTTTTCTTTTTGTAAACAGTGTAAATCTTCTCCTAAATATGTTTTTTTTAAAAAGCATATTAAAAAGAAATTTTAATTCAGTAGTAGTAGTAGTAGTAGTAGTAGTAGTAGTTGTTGTTGTTGTTGTTGTTGTAATAGTAGTAGTTTGAAACTAATTTAATCGAGTTGTGTAGTGGTAGAGTGCCTGTGACCTTAGTGAGCACAGCCATGCTGAACCAGATTTTAGTTAGGTGAAATGACATAGGGTTGTGTCATATCTAAAATTATTTTTATAAAATATTTAATAAACATTAAATAAATGTTTTCCATCTAAACTAACCACTGCTTTTTTAAAATACTTTATGTACTTTTGATGGTTATCAGGCACTTTGAAATGTTCTCATGCCTCCTTTAGAAATAAGTAGTGAAGAGAATTTCCCTGCTTGTTCACTAAAGAAACCCAATCCAATGTAAACAAGTTATAATACTTCACCTAATTTTTAAATATTTTTTGGCAACCATTACCATTTTATGACCCATTTCTTTTTGATTTTGAAATATTTAAATCATTTTCAATAATTTTTAATAGTACTGGATCAGCTAATTTTTAATTTTTTTAAAGATACCACATCTTTATTGCCCCTTCCATCAAATGAAGTTCTGTAAGATGATTAACAAATAAGTCATTATCATCTCCAATTAAAAGAACTTCATCAATACAGTTAAAATATTTAGTTATAATTTTCTTTGATTCACTCGATTTATAAAATTTACTGCCTAATCTTAGTGACCAAAGTGCTTGCAGCTCAGTGCAATCATTTTTAAAAACCTCTGTTCTATTTCATGTACTTATGTTTACCATGTACATATATTCCATGTACACAAGTAAAGCTTATTTTATCCAAACAGAGTTTGTTAAGCAGAAATTTAATATTATGATTTGTCTCTGGTACTCCTGTTACCAGTGCTATAATAAATGATGCTTTCCCAGATCCTTACTTGAAGTTTGATGATTCAATTTTTTTCCATATTTTCTACTTTTGTTTTAATTGTTTCATTTGGTTTTGATACAACATATAAACAAATCTAAATAATTTATAATAAATTACACTTGTTAAACTTTTAATTAGAAACAAAAGTGGCATATTATAAAATCAAATTACGTTACGTAATCCCCAACCTACATCAATGGAAATTTTTACAGACTGGTTTTAAGGGTAGGTTCCTTTTTTATCTATTACTTGCCACAGAAATTCATTGACATCTGTTGTTCTGATAAATGGGATTAGTTTAAACAAACTTTTTTTTTCTAGAGACTTAATATTAAAAAATTCAAAGTTCTCAACAAAGCAATCATCAAGTTGCTAGTCAATATGTTTGCTAACCCTGATTGTAAAATTTTTCTGTTTTGTGCTTTGAATTGTAATTTTTTTGCTAGTTTTAGAATTTTTGTGTTACTTAATTCTGAAGTTGATTATATATCAATCATACTGTTTATAAACAGTTGTTGTATTTTTATAGTATCATAGATGTTTCTCTTAAGTGTAACACTAACTTTTTTTACCACTGGTAGCAAGTATGGCTACACCTTTTTTGTCTTTTATTACAGCATTTAAGTAATGCAGCCGTGGCGCAGTGGTTAGAGTGCTTATTTTATGAGCAGGAGATTCAAATTCGAAACAAGCTCTAGACATATTTTCGCATCATGGTAAGGAAGGAGGCATGAACTTCCTGGTTAAATGCACTTCCGTGGTGCTCTGTGACAAGACCGTTAGGTCTTCTTAAAAGTACAACTAAAGAACATTATTGGGTAATTCCTTTGCTAATAATTGAAAAGCAAGTTTGACAAATTAGAGTATTAACTGGAGGCTGTGCATTACATTTATGTCCCTTTTTGAATTTTTTAGGTCTCCTAAGTAGATCCAATTATACGTATTTTGTCTTTGCATACGAAAACACTTATAGTTTAAACTGGTATTTTCATTTTTATTTTATACTTTACATGTAAAGAAGGCTCTTTTCCTCTTCTTACACTTACATTGTAAGATTCGCAAATAGTTTTAGGGTAGAATGAATTTTTAATTTTGTTTTTAAAATTCACTATATTTTTAATCCACCGTAAATTAATATTGTTAGATTTATTTGTTTTTTGGCACAGTATAAACACACTTTTCTCCTGTTTTCCTCATGAGAATAGGTCTGTTTGAATAAACTCATTCTATCTAGGAGAATAAAATAATTTAACACAAAGAAAACCCACTTTATATTTTACCTAAAAAAATACAGTATTATATACCATATAATAATTCTTTATTAAATGTTCCAAACACTCTTTACAAATATATAGAATATATTACAAATATAAATGCAATTTATTACATGATATATTACAAATAACATAATATATTACAAATATAAATGCTGACTATTATAGTATATAGGTTTCTTATTAAATGCCTTTAACATAACTTTTGTTAATTATACTTTTACTTAATTTATAATTTATGCATTAGTTATACATTTAACACAGGCTTGGACAGGAATGGCGTGCAATCAAGCACTATTGTTGACCACGCAAATGATTTTATTTCTTGAAAACTTGACCACGATTGTTTAAAAGTTTTGATGATTTCAGAAATGCGCTGACAATGGAGAAACGCTTAGCTTGAACTTAAACTAGGAAAAAAGTTAAAAAAAGAAACTAATGAAAAAATAATTCATTACGAAAAAAGAAACAAATAAAAATTCTTTACAAAAAAGAAATTATATGAGCACTAGAATAAAAAATAAAAAACTAAAACTTGAAGCGAAACTTTTTGTAACGTTTTTAATTACATTTGAAATAAATCTTTTTAAATGTTTTATTAAAGTTATGCAAAACGCTTTTAAATACATAAAAAAAAACATATATATACATATATATATATATATATATATATATATATATATATATATATATATATATATATATATATATATATATATATATATATATATATATGTGTGGTTTTATTTAAAGCCTTCAGGTAAAATAAAAACTTTAGAATAGATCAATGATTAAAAGTTATTCATAACATAACACTTTTTATTGCATTTAAATTGTTAAAACATAAATATCGCCGTGGTCAAGTTGTAAAGAAAAAAATATAATAGCGTGGTCAGTTATAGAGTGAGATCGCACGTCATTCCTGTCCAAGCTTGTTAACATAGCCATTGTTAATTATATTTCAGTTTTAAAATTAAAACTGAAATATAATTAACAATGGCTATGTAAAGGCCGGGACCTGTTTTGACCCCTGTTTAAATCCGAATATTTTTAAAAGAGTAGTTTTATGAATTTTCACTCTTCCTGAATGGTATGGTTCTAACAAATCCAAAAAGGTATGACACAACTCTATGTCATTTCATCAAACTAAATCAGGTTCAGCATGGCTGTGTGAGGTTAATCACTATTAAAAAAAACCTGGTTCAAAAATTCATTATCCAAAATATTTTCATTATCAAAAATTCATTATCAAAAATATTTTCTGTAGTTTAAACATAATCAATAGATTTTAGCACTAAAAACATGCAGCAGATTTTTTAAATAAAATCTACTGTGAGTTGGTAATAAATTCTTTTACTCACGTCACCAAAAATATTTAAAACCAGCATATTGAACAGTGTCAGACAACATAACCCTCCTACCTTACCTACTAAGGTGAATGCTGGATACTATGGGTTTTTGCTTGTGTCTCTTGTAGAGACTAGCTATTAGTACCTTTTTTAAACGTTTTAAACACAGTGCAAGAAGCTGATTTATCAACAAATGAATTAAGTTCTGGAGCTAATCTTCACTACATTTCTTACTCTTTTTGCAACTACATTTAGGCAGACTGGGATACTTTATATGATTTCCTTTGTGATGGTCTTTGTGCTGTTGAAAGTTCTCTTATGTTATTTCCTGAATTAGACATCCTGATCATTCTGGCTGATAGGGGTCATTAAAAAACCCAGTCCAAAAATGTTTGTGTGTGTGTGTGTGTGTGTGTGTGTGTGTGTATAATGATATAATGAAATATTTGCATATAAAAGAAATAGATATTTGTACATTAAAAAAAAAAAATTAATAAATCATTGTGAAAATTATTTTGATCGATTTAGAATTGATTTGAATTAAGTTAAAAAAACTTAATTTCTTAAAAACCAAGAAAAAAATATTCATAAAAAACAACATGTTTTTTTATGAATAAATAGTTCATTCAATAAATGCTTAATCAAATAATTTTTTGTTTCAGAGAGCAAGGGAGGCAAAAGTTTACAATGACACTAAAATAGATGATGTGATTGAAGGAAAGCGACAGTTCTGTGTTGAAGAAAAACTTGTAGATAAAAAGTTTAATGAAAATTTGCGTGATGTAATTTTGGAAATGGATGGTCAAAGTAGATTTTTTTTTTTGTTAATTATTTTCTCTTACAATTAAAATAACATAAATATATAATAGCTTGGAGTCTTGATGATCTTTTTTCTAAACCAAACTAATGATTTTTCCACGTTTAAAAAAATAATTAGTCAATTAAGCAGGTTACTATAAGGGTTTAAAATATTTTTTTTTGTTAGAATTTAAAATTATATAATGACAGAGACAGGAATTATTTTTTGAAAATAATAATAACAAGATTATAATTATTAAGAGTAATAACAATTATGATTATAATATGTTAATAATAGTGTCACTCAGAAGGGCATTTCCAAAAAATCACACATGGAAACTTGTAAATATATTCAGGCCTCAGTGGGAAGCCCACACTCCCCTAAAATGGTTTACGGGAGCAATTTATGGCTCCTAAAAGTACAATTTTTTCTTTTAAAAGTATAATTATTATTGTAACTGAAATAAAAAACGCAATCATTTTAATAATTATTTTTAACAATTATTAAAATGCCTGCATTCTATTACAATAAAAGAAAATATAATTTTTTTTTTATAAGCAGTAAAAATGACACTTGTCTAAAGAATTTTTTCATGCTACTTATTATGTATATATTCTTGTAATATTAATGTAACAAACATATGCTTGACATGATGCAACAAATCTATGAAAGTGCAAATTTTTGTTAAAAAAAGACAGAAAAATGAATGCAATGTCTATATTTTTGCATATACAAACATTGGCGTTTGTTTGAAATTTTAAAAACACACGCATTACTTCAGCAATTTTTTTCCAAATAATTATGAGGTTGATAGTTTTTCATTTATTATAAAAAACACATATTTATGATAAAAAAATAATTAGTTATTAAAATTTAAAACACATTTTAAAGACTTTAAAAGAAACCAAGCTAAAACGTGATTATTTCTTTTGATAGAGTTATTATTAAGTATGCTATTAAATTTAGTAATTATGTTTTAGCATGGTTTTTGCATGTGTTAACAAAAGTCTCCAAAGTTTTAGTTAAAACGAATGCATTTGCAATTACTTTAAAAGAAACCATGCTTAAAAATTAGGATTGCTTTTTTTCTATAGCATGCTTTTTTTCTATAGCATGCTTTTTTTTTTTTTAATTTTCTTATTTTTCTTAAAGTTAAGTAATGTTTATTTGTATTAAATTAATAAGCAATTTTTTTAATGAATAAACAGATAAATCTTGTAAAAAACCCAAAGCTCTTCTAAGAAGCTGTTTAGAGGAGCAGCTTGCCTTCGTTTTAGGAGAGCTTTTCACAGTTCTTGCACTATTTTCTTCTCGCCGAAGCCTGCATGTTTAATATATTTTTGAAATGACAGTCATGAATTATTTCTAGCTAGAGTATAACGTTTTAAAAATTATTGTATATTTTTCAAACTGTAGCAATATTATCAAGCAATATGCATATTGCTTTCCCAGGTTCTAATTGCTAAAACAAAGAAAAATGAAAAATCATGCACAGAAATGGAAATGTTCAGAAGTCTGATCAAAAAAGTGACACCAATATATTAGGAATGTGCAAATATAGTTAAAAACTGTTTAATTTTTTTTTATCTTACTTGGTATCTATATTCTTATTATACTTAAGCCCTGCATCTATTTTTAAATATTATGCATATAAAAAAATTAAAGTTTAATTGTTTAGAAAAGTACATTAGTTTGCTATTGATATAATATAGTTATAGTAGTTAGAGAAAACACACACTTTTTGAGAACTATAAGTAATGAAATAAATATCCACTTAATATTCAAAAAAGTTCTTGCTATTTGCAGGCCTTATAACAAAGCCATGTGCATTTAAAAGTAGGAGTTGCGGTTGAAGGACAAACAATGACTGGTCGGCAAGTTTGCAATAGATGTGATCCTGTAAAACTTGCTTCCAATTGGTAATAAAATGCTGAGAGTCTTGGAATAGCATGCCAGTAAGAACCCCACAAGCCTGAAAAAAGCTATATGAGAAACTATGTTTAAAATTGAAGAGCAATAGGGAAAAACTATTTTTTTTAACATCAAGAGTTTCCATATTCACAAAAAAGTGAGGAAAATACATGATGAGTACCAGCCCTTAAGAAATCCTCAGAGTATGGAAAGACAGTGGAGCTCTGAATGTATTTTTTTAGGTCAAGATGAAAAAATTTGTTTGATATTACTCATTAGGATGCAATGTAGTTGATAATCAAAGAACAACGCCACTTTTCAATCTTCAAAATTTGCATTGGTGAGAAGGAAAGATGTTCTGACAAAGAATGGGTTGACAAAAAGAAAAGAGAAGGGTATAGAAAATGATAGAGCAAAGAGATTAAACCAGGAAAAAAACCATGTCAGGGAATAATTGTGACAGTTCAGTAAGATTCATTTTACACTTTATCAGGTACACTGTATAAAAGTCCATGTAGGTCTCCAGTCAAGAAATTTCGCAGAGATACAAAGGTAGTTAGTACCTTAATTGTAATTGCTGTAGCTCTTGACCTAAGCCAGATTAACAATTGAGGAGTGGAGAAGAAATAACTAGATATGTGTAGTTGTTTCATTTGTGACAGCACTAGTGTCTAATGTGGGGGCTAATATATTCACCGACATTGCAGTAAATATTGTAAAGAGAAAGTCACTGAAATAAAAAGGTTCTTTACAACAATAGTTTCCCTGACTGACCACTGAGATAAAAAGCCAATGCCATGATTAACAAGCAAAAAAAAAAAAGGCAGATTAGCTCCCTATTGTTTCTGAAAAACTAGTTCTCATTGGTTCCAGAGGTATGCGGTGGCAGAGCATGGAGTGGCTTCAGTTCAGGAGTTCATGAGAGATAAGAGGACCAAGGTAGAAAGCCAGCTTAAGTTCCTTCCTCAAGTATTTGATTAAAAGGAACAAATACAATACTGCTTATCTTTCTATTATTCTCTGTGTATTCTCTTGTACTCTGTGTAGGATTTAAAAAAAAATCACAGGTTTTTTAAAAAACATTTTCTGAATCAGTTTGGTTATTTCACATTTTCTGAATGAGTTTGGTTATTTCACATTTTCTGAATCAGCTTGGTTATTTCACATTTTCTGAGTCAGTTTGGTTATTTCACATTTTCTGAATCAGTTTGGTTATTTCACATTTTCTGAATCAGTTTGGTTATTTCACAAAATATTCTTGTGATTTAACTCTAAATCAGCGAAAAAGCAAAATGTATTTTTTTTTCTTCAAAAAAACATACTTAAGTTGGCTATTAGGAACTTTTAGTTAGTAATTTTTTTAGATTTTGCAATCGAAAAATCCAAAAAACTTTGAACCACTAGGTTCAAAAATAGGTTCTATTATTGATTTTCGAAAATCAAGTATTTAACATTACTTACTTTTTGCTACTAAGTTATCATTTGTTTTGGAAAATTTTCCTCTTTATCATCATTTACATCATAATAGTTTTTAGAACAAAAACATAATGCATTTCTATTGCATTTTACAGTCAGTTTTTACCTTGAAGTTTGCCATCCATGTTGAAATTACATTGTGTGATGAAAAATGCGTCAAATTTGAATTAAGTTTTTAAATAACTATTTAAGAAATTAATAAAAAAAATATTTAGATTTGTTTGATTAGTTTGTTAGATTAGTTTGTTTTTTTAATTTCGCAAGGTTTTTTTTTATGCTTGTGTAAATTGACTTACATGAGTTTTTAGGTAAGTGGGTGAAAGCCTGCTAAGCTTATTAACTCTTAGCAAATAAAAAAACTGTTAAAAATAGAAAAAAACAGCTTAGTTGTATATTTATCAACCCTTGGAATCTGAGTTGGCATTCGGGAATGCTGACCTAACTGGCGACCTAGAAGTGTTTGAGTTTGGCAAAATATCGCCGACCTCAATTCTATGTTTTATGGTAAAACCTTTGTATCAAATTTTTTTTGTCAACCTGATGCTGACCTCTAACAAATTAAGGTCGGCAAAACATTGCTGAACTCATTTTTCCTAATTCCAAGGGCTGATTTATAATACCTAAATTTCGTCATTTTGTCATTTAAATTATTTATATAATATAAATTATGTATTAGGAGTTATGTGCTAAATTCCATTTAGTATATAAATTATATAGTAAATGTGAGTATAAATAAATATTACTTTTAAATTTCAATAAGTTCTTTTCAGTTTGAATGTTTTTTCAGTTAAAATGTTTCTTTTTCAGTTTAAATGTTTTTTTTTCAGTTTGAACGTTTTTTTTAGTGAAAAATGAGTTTTATGATATATATTTTTTTAAATAACCTAATAATTAAAAAAAACATTTTGTTCACTTAAAAACTATATTTTGAATATCTAAAACTAGATTTTTTCTTCTCTTAATAACCAAATATTTCTGAAAATGTTCCATCGATAAAAATTGTAAAAATCTATTATAAAGTAAATTTAATTTGTTTGGTTTAAACCTTTGTTCAGTTTAACCCTCATTTTCTCTATTATGTGTATTTAACCCTCATTTTCTCTATTATGTGTATTTAACCCTCATTTTCTCTATTATGTGTATTTAACCCTCATTTTCTCTATTATGTGTATTTAACCCTCATTTTCTCTATTATGTGTATTTAACCCTCATTTTCTCTATTATGTGTATTTAACCCTCATTTTCTCTATTATGTGTATTTAACCCTCATTTTCTCTATTATGTGTATTTAACCCTCATTTTCTCTATTATGTGTATTTAACCCTCATTTTCTCTATTATGTGTATTTAACCCTCATTTTCTCTATTATGTGTATTTAACCCTCATTTTCTCTATTATGTGTATTTAACCCTCATTTTCTCTATTATGTGTATTTAACCCTCATTTTCTCTATTATGTGTATTTAACCCTCATTTTCTCTATTATGTGTATTTAACCCTCATTTTCTCTATTATGTGTATTTAACCCTCATTTTCTCTATTATGTGTATTTAACCCTCATTTTCTCTATTATGTGTATTTAACCCTCATTTTCTCTATTATGTGTATTTAACCCTCATTTTCTCTATTATGTGTATTTAACCCTCATTTTCTCTATTATGTGTATTTAACCCTCATTTTCTCTATTATGTGTATTTAACCCTCATTTTCTCTATTATGTGTATTTAACCCTCATTTTCTCTATTATGTGTATTTAACCCTCATTTTCTCTATTATGTGTATTTAACCCTCATTTTCTCTATTATGTGTATTTAACCCTCATTTTCTCTATTATGTGTATTTAACCCTCATTTTCTCTATTATGTGTATTTAAATCCACATCAGAGTAATGAAATTTTTTTTTTTTATAAAGATTTCAATTTGAAATATATTCAAGAAAATGGTTTCAACATGCCTATACTCTTCAAACGCAAAGATGGTCTTGGACTCAAGTAAGATTTTTAAATTTAAGCATAAAATCTTTGTAATTCAAACTTTTAAAAATAAACTTTATAATCTTATATAAAAGTTTTAAAATTTGTTTTAATTGCTATTAAAATTGAAATAAATAAAGATATGTTAATTAAAATGAATAATAATTAACTTATTAGGTAGTTAATAACAAAAAGTTTAAATTTTAAATTTTTGGTATGAACTTTAATTATTTGTTGTTTTAAATTTTCTAGTTAATAAATTCCAAATTTTTTAGTTAATTTTAACTACTCCAACAGTAAAGTTTTCTTTGTTAATTTGCTGAAGTTTAAGTATTTTACTGGTTAACTTAAGTATTTTACTAGTTAATTTAAGTAATTTACTGGTTTAAGTACTGGACTGATTCCATGTTATCCCATGTACTCATTGAGTTTTTACTGTTTTGTTATTATTTTGTTTCTTGATTTTAAAAATATCAAAAGTGATTTTTTATATCGAGGAAAAACACTAAAAGCTTAACAGTAAAACACTATTATCAAAGTAAATAAAATGAAAAACAGTAAAACACTATCAAATTATATAAAATGAAAAACAGTAAAATAATCCGGTCAAACTAAACATTTCAGTTTACAATAATTCGCATAGAGCTGAAAATTGGTACATTCCTTTGAGACATTATTACAAATAAAGAATTAAAAGTCCCCATCAATCCCATATCTGCAAAAAAAGTTATTCAATGTCAAAGGTATAAAAAAAAAAGGTGTTTTTATTTTATAAAAAAAAAAAAAAGGGGGACGTTTAATCTTAAAAATAGATCAAACAAAAGTATTAGATCATGAAAGTGTTTACTAAAATTGTCTTTATACATTTTCATAAGAATCATTATTCGTGAGATATTGCAATTCTTGCAAAAATGTATTGTGAGAAGATATTGCAAGAATATATTGTGAAAGTATTTTAAATATATTGCGATTTTATATAAAATATAATGCTAGAAAAGTCATTGCAATTTTTGTAAAGTTATGAATTTAATATACCAATTAATTAATTGGTATATTAATTTTGTAATTAATATATACATTTCAAAATTAATATATACATTATATTTGTATATATTATTTATTATTAAATGCATATTATGTATTATATACTCGTATTAGTGTAATATTATATATTAGTATATTCTTTGCTTTCTTCTTCTTCGTAGTCATCTTCTTTTTCAAGCTGGATATGTGAAAAAGATACATCAATTGTCTCCTCATTGGTATCATCAAAATCATTTATTGAATTTGATTCAACATTGGAGCAAGACGAGCCTCTGCTATTAGTACACACCGATGAACAAAATAACCTGACTTTTTTACAGCTACATTTTGCACTACAATCCTTTTTGCAATTGCAGAAGATGGTGTTGAGTCTTTCTGGAGTTGGTGGGAGTAAAGTGTCAATCGGCTCTAATGTATTATTTACTCATTTCCAACCCCAGTGTGATGGGTCCAGTTGATTGCCTAGCCATACTTAAACTTGATAATATACTCAATACAAGTGTTAGCTAGAAGAAGCAGATGTTGGAGGTAGACAAGATAATTGCACTCTTTTATTATTCGGGGTGTTTTTTACAAAAGTTAGGTATCTATATTTGTCTAAACAATCAATTTAATTTTTCTTCAAATTAAATTGATGGTTTAGACAAATATAGATACCTAACTTTTGTAAAAAACACCCCGAATAATAAAAGAGTGCAATTATCTTGTCTACCTCCAACATTAAAGAAATTATTTTATAAACTTGTTGCTCCCACGTAAAGGGCCCAAAAATTGGGCTTTTTTTGTCCCCAAGCTCCAATCACAGCAACTCTTTGCAAAACATTCTTATTTGACATCAGCATAAACATACAAAAGTTTGGAGTTTGCACAATGCCTATAAGTGTCAAAATTCAAACATCTAAAAATCCAGTGTACACCACTAACCCTCCATCGATGATGTAACTAGCATTTGTTTTGTCAATTTCAATTTCCACTGATTCAAAGCAAATTCAAAAAAATTTTCTATTTCATCCTCAGATGTCTTGGCAATACTCATACATTGAAATAGTAATACTAGATCTAAAGGTACTTTCTCATCATGAACTTTTATGGTGCTACTCATAGTTAGAAGAGGAAGAACTTTATCAACGCGTTTTAATTTGATATTAAATGTTTCACCTATCATTTTAGACATTAAAGCAATCCCAACTTCACGAGCTTTATGACAGATCATTTTATTATCACCAACCATTTCACTAGCAATTGAAATGATTTCTTTAATTTTAGGAAAAGGATCATGTGATAAAACCACTGCTGAAGTTTTTCGATATCTTTTTCATCTTTCTTTATTTGTGAATCAGTTGCTGAATCTGTTGTATACGTTCTAATATCAGCAAGATCTTCTAATCCTTCACATACAGTTTTCCTTGCATGCATGCCATAAACCCGATTACTTATAACACTCTCTTTTTTATTGTTGACAATGAAAAAAAGTAGCGCAAAAGAAAGTAAGTGGAAATCAAAACAGGGTTTCGTCATAGCGAAAAAATTCGATTCACGCAAATATTTCGTCTTGTGGAAAATGGCCTTAACACTCTCTTTTGTACTTCTTCCTTGCAAAATACCCCCATATGTTTTCATTGATTTCATCATTGATTGCTCATTTACCATATCCATTGAAGTACCACAATTGAGTTTATCAGAACGTCTAACAGTGAAAAATCCTTCAATAAACTGTTGATAAAAACTTTGATTCATTAACTTCTCTAATTGTAGCATATCCTGTAGATATAAGTGCGCAGACTTAGCATAAGGAAAATGCCCCGATGTGTGGAAATAAGGAAGCATTTCTTTAATGCTGTTCAAATAACCTTGCCAATCTCCCATGCGTTCAGCTCTGATAAACTTCTTTGCATTTGACACCATATTATGATATTGTATCCATTGTTTTGATGTAGGTCCTTGTTTTTCAAATTCTTTTAGTTTTTCATTGAACTTATAAAGTAATGCATCGCACATTTCATTATCAACGCTATTTTCATTATCACTATATGAAACTTTGTTATTTATGACATCCTTAATGGTAATATCAAGATTTGCTACCATCTTCTCATCAATAGCAAGATCTTTTGAAATTATTATAGCTAAAGTGAGCTGAAGTAATGTATGGGCTCTAACAGCTCTAGCGTAAGCATGGCCATTGAGCATTTTTTCTACGACTTAGGTGCATAAATTAACTAAAGTGCCTCTTGTATGTCACTTCCTTGCATAATATAACCAATTGATCCAAAAAAATGACATTAGTAAATGAAATCCTCCAAGTCTTATTATAAACTTTGATAATTCAGATCCATCAGGTGCAGATACAATTTCTCGAACTTTTGCATACAGAGGTTGATCGAAGGTAATAATGCATACTTCGTGGCCGTAATGTTTCACATTATCTAAAGCACAAAGTAAAGTCATGCATATTGTACTCTAGTTACTTGCTGGTTGGTGAATAAACGGTAAGAATAAAATTTTAGATTTAGAAAAATTCTGAATATTACTTGTTAAACGTTCGATATAACCATTCCAACCGGGTAACAATAAATTCTTGCATTTACCATATTGTTTCAACTTTTTATATTAAAGATATTGGTGCTTTACTTTCATAAGCTAAATTTTGCACATTTATTATTTTTAGGGTAACAATTTGAATGATATCCATTTTGTGAGTTATTACCGTCTAAACTATTTACATTTATATCAGCATTGTCCACAACGTATTGAATAAATGTGCCAGTTTGTGGTGGTAAGATAAAAGACAGACGGTGAAGAACTGCTGCTGCCTCATTCATCAAAGTGTCATTTTAGGATGCACATAAACCAAAAGACGAAAAGATTTGTATAAAAAGTTTTGGATCCAAACTGTCGATGGAGAAATACTGACAGACCCAATTGCAATTTTGATTTAGAAGACCTAGGTCTAACAGCAGACATAATGCTGTGGCTGATCTTGTACATGCTAATTTTAAATGTTCTAACTTAAATCTTTTTTTTTTAAAATAACTTGCTCTAAAAAATAAGTCAATGACTGGAATATTGCTGTTAATATCTTTAAACATTTGACTAGGTGAGGGATAATTGGTATTATCAAATACTAATGAATGAATGTCCTCTTAAATGATTGCTGTTGCAGCTTTTAAAATTCGAAATCATTCTTATTTATTTTGGCTTTTCTTCTCATACCAAGCTTAGGTAAGAATATCGCTATAGCTGTTCAAAAAACAAATAAATGTTAATTTTCCGGGTTTTTTAGTGATAATAATTTTATGACCGAACTTCAGCTTCAATTGTGTTTTAATTGTTCTGTTATCTAAATGTGAATTTTCGCAAATATTTTTTTAATTTTTCTAATGAAACTGGCAATCATTGCTGTTTTCAATGTATTTAAATATTTTTTCCATCGCAACATTCGTAGATTCATCTTGAGAATGACCGATTTTACACCCATTGGTCTCAAGAAAGAATTATAACAGTTATTATGGTATTTAGCCTCAGCAGCAACTAAATCAAATTCATATTCAATGCCTGCATTAACCTTTTTTGCTTCCTCATCAGAACGACTCCATACTACCTTCAGAATTGATTTTTTAAATTCAAGAGTAACAACTTTATGAATTTTACGCCGAACTTTTATCACTTTTTTTTTAAATAAATTTATTTAAAAAAAAAAAATAAAAATCATGCTAACACACAAAAAACCCAAAATGTGCAGTTATATAAAAGGAACACATGAAAAAATAGTAACTTCTTGAAATATTGTTAAGTTAGTCAGTAAGCTCCATCCTATTAACAAATACTAAATGATACTTTATTAAAGTAAATCATTCCATAGTTTATTATGATATAGATTTGTCTCAATATACAGATTTGTATAAATATAGTGATTTGTTGGATGGAGCTTAAACATTTTTTAATATTTAATTTATATAAAAAAGGAATTCCATTTTTATTTAGAATGCCTGATGCAAATCTATTTAGTGTGATTGATGTGAAGAGTTACGTAGGTATTGTTTAATTTTTTATTTTACCTAAAGCTAATCTTTTTAATCTAATTTATTGTCCTTTTAAAGTGTTAATATCAATGTTCTGAGTGTTCTTTTAAAGTTTTTATATCATTGTTCTGAGTGTTCTTTTAAAGTGTTTATATCATTGTTCTGAGTGTTCTTTTAAAGTGTTTATATCATTGTTCTGAGTGTTCTTTTAAAGTGTTTATATCATTGTTCTGAGTTATTATTATTAGTTTATATGATTGTTCTGAGTTTTTTTCATAGCATAACATAGTTTTGTTATGCAAAAAAATTTAGAAGAGTTGGCTTAAGAATAGAGGAAACTATAGATAACAAGTAATAATAGGGTTCGGAACTTATGCGCATATCGGCGAATATATGTGCATATCATTCAAAAGTTATGCGCATAATATACATATGATAAGCATACAAAATTAACAGATATATGGTATATGAAGTTTATTAAATATTGTCAAATATAGAAGAAAATGTTTTTTAAATCAAACGCCGGTTACTTTAAATTGAAAGAAATAATTTTCCATTTGATTTTCTGTAATTAATTTTATTTGTAAATATTTCAAATTATTTTTATGATTTTTAAACAAATTTCTATATTACAATATTTAACAATTTAAAAACTCAAACTCGCTGAGAACTGCTACTTCCTCTAAAATGTAGCTATTGTTGTTTGTATCCACCAAAACACTATTGATATATATGAAAACTTTTTTTTTTTACGCGTTTGTTTGTCAAGAGATTTCTCAATCGTCAATAAATAAATTGAAAATCTACCAAGTTCTCTCTGCTGTAGCTGACGAAGAAATCATTTCAATAATAGATTTTGCAACTTCAAAGACTGGGCAGTTTATATTTACCAATAGTGTTTTGATAGATACAAACAACAAAAATGACTACATTTTAGAGGAAGTAGCAGTTCTTAAACTATAAATGTTTCAGTTTTTTAAATTAAGCACTTTAACATTTAACAACTTTAAGTTATGAATTATAAAAGTGTGTTAAAGATATTTAATTAAAAGTTGTTAACTTTTAATTTCACTGTTAAAACTGATGATTTTTTTGTTCCAAAACCACATTAATTAAAAATTTCATAAAAACTAGAATTAGAATTTGTTTTTTGGTCTGTCTGTCAAGTTAAAATAATTTAACGGTTTTTAATGATTTGAAATTGAAAAAAAGTTGTGCACAATTTATCAGTGAATACAAATCACATACAGATTTTTCACATATTTTTATCCAAATTTTTTCACATAATTTTATACAAATTTTTCACATATTTTTAATTTTATATTTGTATTTTAATCACACACAAATTTTTCACAATAAATCACATACAAATTTTTCCAAATCCTAAATAACAAATATAACAACATAACAAGAAAGATACTGAAGAACGATGAGTTTAGAATAATAAACAATACAAGTACAAAAGATGAGTTTAGAATTATAAACGATACAAGGGCAAAAAGTTGTTTTAGAATTAAATAAAAAAAATGAAGGAATATGAAAATGTTTATTCAAGTAGAAAGTAGAAGATTTTGAAGTTATAGTGTAAGTTAAAAATGAACTTTGCATACAGTTAGGAATGAAGTTTTATAATACTAAAATATTATAACAGCAATCAAAACAAAGAAAAAAATGATAATTTTTAAGTAAAGGTTGGTGTGCATAAGAGCCCAGGGCTTAATGCACAGTTTTTAATTTTTTTCTAAGATGCTCAAATGAATTTAGTATTGGTGTACCATATAACAATACCAATAATACAAATGAAACTTAAAGTTCATTTCAGTTGACTATTTATTTGTGTGTACTCAGAACTAGGATTATTTTACTATTTTTATTGTTCTATATAGAATTTTTTTTTTCATTATTTTTTTATTATTTAATTAAAAAGTTTATTTAGAAAGTTTTTTTTTATTAATTTTTTTATTTATTATTTTATTAAAAAGGTTATTTAGAAAGTTTTTTTTATTACTTTATTAAAAAGTTTATTTAGAAAGTTTTTTTTTATTAATTTTTTTATTTATTATTTCATTAAAAAGGTTATTTAAAGAGGTTTTTTTTAATATTTAGAATGTTTTTTTTTGTTAATCTTATATAAATATTGTTTAAGTTTGATGAAATTTTTAGGTGCTCGTCGAGTTTTAGATGTATTTGATTGTGACACACATGAGTCAATACAAATGAGTGTTCATCAATGGGTCAAATACTATATGGGTGTAGAGAGAGAAAAAGTTTTTAATGTTACAAGTTTGGAATTTAGTCACACAGGACTTGATAGGCTTGTGAAATGTCCAGATGTTGTAAGTAAAAAAATTTAATTTTATTCTAGTTTCTTGTTTCTATTTAAATCAGTTTTAATTCAAGTCTCATTCTAACCCGTTGTTTTCTCCTTGTTGTCCAACTGTACTTTTTATCGTTGCAAGAAGTTTATGCAAAAAGGTGTTGTCTGATTCTAAGGTTCATTATAGAAGTTAAGTTTTAGATATTCTGGAATTAGGTAAAGATTGATCTGGTATATCGGTTTCAGATGATATGTTCAATTATCGTGTTTTCCAAATAAAATCCTCCGTCAATTTAATTTATAGATTTTACTGTATGGATATTGTGACATTTATATACCAATGTGTCGGTTTAGTTTACAAATGTACCTAACATCTTTCTTTTTAAGTTTTATATTTTTAATGTTTATCTTAAGCATTTTTTTATTTGTGTCCATTGATGAAGGACAATTGTCGCTTTTCTGTCCATTTTATTCCAAGTTTGTTGCGACAAAACTAAAATAAAACTATAAAATTAACTAAAATGTATAAAAGTTTATTACTTAAAAATATATTAAAGGTTTTTAAATCTTAGAAAAATTAAAAGTTACAAACAATGTCTGATACCAACTTTTGAAAAGTGCTAATAATTAAAATATAAAAGTTTTTCCAAAATGTAAACAATATTTTATAAAATTAATTTTCAGGTCGAAAATGATCTTGACTGGGTGCAAATGGTTTGGCCAAAACATCTTTTATCTGAACAGAAAGATACAACTAATATTATTGAAAATATGAAGTACCCAAAAGTGCGCAAGTAATTATTTTTCTTTTTAGTTAAAATTTAATAATCCATTTTTAATTTTAAAACATTCTGCAGCTTTTTTATTTTTTTGTTTTTAATTTTTTTTTGTGTATTTATGGAATAGTTCTTAGATAAATGTGTTACCTTTTTAATTTTATTGTTGAAAAATCTGTCAGTTTTTTAAATAACAGTTTGTGTTTTATAAATCGTGTTCTTTTAGTGAAAGTTTATAGGGACCTGTTAAGGTTGCTGTTATGGTTGTTGTTTACATATAAAATTACTTTAACTGTACTCTACTATTTTTTTGAATATGAAAACAAAGAACTTAACAACTTTATTGCTTTTTATCACATTATCGAATAAAATCTCTTTTCTGCTAACTGTCAATGCGGTAACACCAGTGCTTAGCTTACATCATATAAGTTTATTATAGGTTCTAACTAACATCATATAGGTTGTTGTTGAAACTTTCTAATTTGGTTTATAACTTGAGAATTGTAATTATTAATAATTTTTTTATAAATTATAGCTCAAGAATACTTCTCTGTTAACATTTCCTTTCATAGCAAGTGAAACCATGTAAAGTGTCATTTTAACAAAAAAGCATTCTTTTCTCATTAGCTTTTGCTATAAAAATGCGGAGCTTGATTTAGTTAGCAGCAAAAGTTACTAAAAATAAGTTTTTTTAAAGTAATATACTTAAAATAAATTTTTAAGTATTTTTTTTTTAAATAATTTTTAAAAAAAGACTTAAACCCCAAACTTGCTTGGTAAGAGAAAACAATAGCTTTATTTTTGGTATTAAATTGTTTTTTCAATGGTTTTGTTAAATGAAGTAGAAAGCTTATGAATTTTAGTTAACAAAATAATGTTACTTACCAATAGACAAATTAAATAAGGTTAACCTAAAAAAACGTTAAAACCTTTGAGCTTTAAAAACAAATAAATTACTTTGTTATTTAAATAAATTACTTTTGTTAGCTCAAATTAGTTTTAAAAAAAATTATGATCTTCTGCAGTTCTAACAGTTATGTTAGATGAACTAATAATATTTTTATAAATAGTGAAAATTAAAAAAAGTAATTACAATATCATGAGCCAACAAATAAAGTAAATTGTTTATGTATTTATAAATTATTTAACCTATTATATATGAATAATATATTTAAGTTTAACTTTATTTAACAAAGGTACTGCCTCATGAGTGTTGCTGGTTGCTATACCGATTTTCATATTGATTTCGGGGGTACTTCTGTTTGGTATCATATTCTTAAGGGAGCAAAGGTAACTTTATAGTGACTAAGTTCGACATTTTTTTATTGACTATTTTTTTTATGTGTTATGTAACACAGTTTATATTTGTTAGTCTTGTTATATATACACCTTGTCCATAAGTTTAATCACACTTATGTATCTTAAATTCAAGACATTTAAATATAAAAAAATTAGTTGATACAAACAAAATAACACCAAGTTTAATTATTTTATGAGATGAGATATTTTAAAGAACACACCAATGCTAATTTAAAAGTACAGTTAAAATGATAGCCTTTCAGTATATTATTATTATTATTGAATAGTATTAATAAGAAAATTTGTTTATTTATTGTAGAAGATAGTAATGCATCATGCCTACCCAAGTTTATTAGTATGACTATTCTATGAAAAATAACATTTCTTTTCAATCAAAAGTTCTTAGGGCTTACTCTTAGTTTAAAATAATTTGGCAATAAAGATGGTTGTGCAAAAATATTTTTTCAATTTTAAGTTTTATTTTTTTTCCAATTTATGATATAAAGTTGAATATAAAGAAAATAATTCCTTTAAATTGAATGTTACACATGGCCATAACGTATTCTAAAGATATTCTTCAGAGATTGTATAGAAAAAATCATGTCTGACCAAAGTTCATAAACAGAAACAATTTAATTGGGTCGAAGAACACCAAAGTTGGACACCAGATGGCTGGAATAATGTTGCGGCCAAGTCACAAAACTTGCAAAAATTGACGAAATGATAAAAGAGGTCTATTAACATATCTTGGAAGAACATGTTTTGGATTGCGGAACAGAACTTAATGGTCAAGTATTTGCATTTAACCAACAAGACAACAATCTAAAACAGGTAAAGTCTTAAAAGAATATTTATGGAAAAAATCTGAGGGCAGTGTAGTACAGTTGATGGCTTCGCCACCACTTATAAATAGTCCTAACAATCCATTGGAACTACATTAGGATTGCCTGCATAGAGAGATGTGAAAAAACTCTTTACGAGGAAATAAAGACCTATAGATATCACTTGAAAATATTTAGAATGCTATTGATGGCCAATATTTACAACTGGTGCCTAACAGATTGCCTCATATTTACCAGGCTATCATTTAATCTAGATGTGTTCATTTTGATCAAATATATATATATATTTATTTATATATTTATATATATATATATTTATATATATATATATATATATATATATATATATATATATATATATATATATATATATATATATATATATATATATATATATACATACATATAATATATATATACATATATATATATATATATATATATATATATATATATATATATATATATATATATATATATATATATATATATATATATATTTATATATATATATATATATTATATATAGTTATATAAATAGTTATATATAACAACAATCATAAAAATAAGTATATATATATATATATATATATATATATATATATATATATATATATATATATATATATATATATATATATATATATATATAATTATATAAATAGTTATATATAACAACAAACAATTATAAATATATATATATATATATATATATATAGATATATATATATATATATATATATATATATATATATATATATATATATATATATATATATATATATATATATATATATATATATATAGTTATATAAATAGTTATATATAACAACAAACAATCATATATATATATATATATTATATATATATATATATATATATATATATATATATATATATATATATATATATATATATATATATATATATATATATATATTATTGTTATTATTATTATTATTATTATATATAAACACTATATAGGTTTTTTGGTTAATTCCACCTACAGATGAAAACTTAAAGTATTATGAATATTGGGTTTTGTCTGGTCGGCAACAAGATATGTTTCTTGGAGATATTGTAAATCAATGCCACAGGGTTCATTTAATTGAAGGGGATACTTTTATGATTCCAACAGGTAATTTAGCTTTGTTTATTAGTGAGTTACTCTTTTTTTTTTAAATTGGTTTATCTAAGTGACATTAATAAATTACAATATTATATAAAATGTTGTCATAATAGATTATAATATAATGTCATTTTTCTAAGGTCAATAAATTGCAGCAATTTTTACTTCAGGTTGGATTCATAGCGTTTATACTCCAGTAGACTCTTTAGTATTTGGTGGTAACTTTATTCACAGTTACAATATATCTCTGCAGTTAAAAGCAGCCAAAATTGAAGAAACTACACATGTCAGTTATGATATTTTAAAGCTATGTGTTTGCTTTTATTTTTATAGTTTTTCTGTTTTGTAAAATTGAATAATATTAAAATACAAACTTGTAAAGGTTCCTCGCAAACTTTGTTTTCCCTTCTTTGCTGAACTGCATTGGTATGTCATTAAAGCATATGTTGATATACTAGAGCGAGATCTTGATGAAAGAAGAATTCTTGAGTTTGAAGCAGAAGATGAAGGTTTTTTAAAAGCAGTTAAAGATGACGCTCTAGAAGACGCAATTAAGGTAAAACAAAAATGGGCAAATGTTTATCTGACAAATTATGAACTAAGTGGATTAAAAGACTTATGTAACACATTTCGCACATGGAACTTAGCTAAGTTCAATTTTCCAACAGACTTAAAAGAGGATGGAATGTATCTTATTGATCGATTAGAAGTAAGTGTTTTAATTATAATAGATATATAATAATTTACTAGCGTAAATTTAAGTTTATTATACATTGATGTAATAGCTTTTTCGATACTCAAGATTTTTTTATTTTTTCAAGTGTTGATTATATTTAATTTTTACAATTAAATTTATTAACCCCAGACGTTTCATACATGTAACAGGCAATACATAGTAACAGACAATACATAGTGACAGACAATGTGTAATGACAGACACTGTATAGTGAAAGACAACTTATTTTCAAATTATTTTAATTTAAAAAGAAAAATAGTTTAGAAGCAGGTTTCAGAAGCAAAGTTCTGTTTGCATTTTGAATGAAAATTTTAGTAAAAAAATTCAATATCACATTTTTTTTGCAAAATATTTAATATATTATTAACTTTAACTTAATTTATACTCCTTTTTAGATAAAATCTTCATTTTTTCATAAAAAGGTAGTTAAAAAACAATTGGTTACAGATCTTCTTTGGTAAAATTTGAATTTATTTGGATTTTAAAGGTTGCTTTAAAGGTTGCAAACATTTATGCTTAACTACTAGGTTTCGATAGCATGATGACAAACACGTGTTAGATTTTAGGTTTTAATAAAAATTTAGATAATATTTATTAGATTTTCTAGAAGTTTCTACCCTCTTGCTCATTTAATAACATTGAGTGTCTCATATAATGACATATCAAGGATCCCTAAGACAGTGTCGTAGTGAGGGTCATTAGCACCCTGCGCCAAAATAGAATATAATTTAAATCCTTGTACGATATTCCAATTTTTAATTTTATTAGTTAATATTTTATATCTCACTGGGTGTAGTAATAGCAATAAGCAGATCAATTTTATCGAAACCGTCGGTATCAATTGTTTATTTTTTTATGTTTTGGTTTTTAAGTCAATTATTGGAATTCAAGTTTTTAAAATTCTATATCAATTAAGTATCAAGAATCTTGCAAAAACCTTTCTGCGGACAAAATATTAATCTTGCTAAAACGTTCTTTTTTAACAAAAGGGAAGTTTTCCTTGGATTTCTGGATAAACACTTATAAAAGTACTATTCTTGAAAAAACCCTTAGGTTTTAATCATCTTTAATTTGAATGTAACAAAGGATAAGCAACAGTAGCATTAATCAGTCTGTATGCTCAGTTGTTTTTCTTTTTCAGCCCCTTTTTTTACCCACAGTTTTCCATTTTAATGCATTTCTAATCATCATATGAAAACAATTTAATGTTATGATTAAATTAATTTTTTTTCCTCTTGATTTAATTTTAAAATTAGTTTTTTTTTTTCACTGCAACGCTACCCATAATTTCTGTTTAAGTCAAATTAAATTTCTCAATTGCGTAGGATATTTCATTGAGGCTAATAGTAGTTTTGATAAATGTCAATAAAGTCCGATAAATACGAATAAAGCGTATGCAAACATGTTTCAACAAAACATCTATAATAATATAAAATTCGGAAAATCGCACAGTATCATGAAAGATGCTAGTTATGTTTTAACTCACAATGCTACCAATCAATGTAATAATATCGCCTATCAACATTTGTACCACAATTATGTAAAAAATAGTAAGAGTAATTAAAAGAAAAGTAATTAAACAAGATTTTTATTATAAATATTTTGGTATTATTTGGTCCACAACTCTAGAAAATATCTTTTACTCGCACTTCTAGAATGAGTTATATATATATATATATAAATATATATATATATATATATATATATATATATATATATATATATATATATATATATATATATATATATATATATATATATATATATATATATATATATATATATATATATATACACACACACTATTGGACAAAACAAGTGCAACCAAATAATGGTAATTTAGTTTTTTTATATAAAAGTGATGCATTTTTTCCGTTTAGAGAAATAACTATGTAACTGTTTAGAGACAACGTTCTTCAGGTTTTATTCATCACAAAGTTTATTATTTGTACACGAAAATTAATAAATTAATCAAAAGTATTTAAAAAAGTTGATTTCCTACTGAACAAAACAAGTGCAACTCCACAAAATGTTGACCAAGCTGTATTTCGCTATCAATATTTCGTACCGAATCTTTTGTTGTCGATCACAGCCTTGCATCTTCGAGGCATAGATTTGATCAGGTGATCAATGAAACTTAGTGAAATCGCTGCCCAGGTCTTTTGTATTTGTTCAAACAGTCGATCCTTATTACGAACACCTTCACAATTAATTCTGCGGTTGACAATCTCCCACAGGTTCTCTATAGGGGTGAGATCCGGAGATTGAGGCGGCCAATCCATCACCGATAGGTGGTTGTCTTGAAACCACTGCTTGACTACTTTTGCAGTGTGTTTCGGATCGTTGTCTTGCTGAAAATCCCATTTTATTGGGATATTCCATTCAGCATGAGGTAACATAACATCTTTCAGGATATTTTTATACCTTTAACGGTCCATTATTCCATCGCTTCAATGTATTGGGCCTAGACTGTTAGCAGAAAAACACTTCCAGACCATTACATTGCCTCCACCATGCTTCACGGTCTTATGACAGTAACGTAAATTGAGGCGTTTTCTGGCCGGTCGACGTACACGACAAATGCCATCGCTCCCAATGATGTTGAACTTCGATTCATCACTGAACAGGACAGTTCGCCATTTCTGCACATTCCAGTCAATATGAGATGTAGCAAACAGGAGTCTTTTCTTCTGGTTCTTTAGTGAAATTAGCGGTTTCTTTGCAGGGCGTCGAGTAAACAATCCGGCTTCAACAGCACGTCGTCTGATTGTTCGGTCCGATACAGGCAGCTCTAATTGCTCGATCCCTGGATATCTCGACTGATGATATCCAGGGATCCTTCTTGACGGATCTGACGATCATAGAATCCTCTCTAGAAGTGGTGGAACGCGGTCTTCCACCTTTGCTATCTGCTGCCAACTTCCCCGTAGAACGATATTTGGAATCATAGTCTTGATACGGTCCATTTTTTCACGCGATTTTTATCACAAATACTTTTTTGTGACATTCCACTTACGAAATCGCCAATAATTTTTTATCTTAGTTCCAATCCAAAACTGTCGGGAGCCATTTTTGCTATTGAAGTCATAAAAATAATAAAAATAAATAATCACGCTTCTCAAGGCTTACCGTGTTACATTTACCTTGTGATGATACAATAATGCTCTGTGGAACACAACGTCTGGATACTTCCTTTAATTATTAAAAAACTTCCGCGACGTTGACACGGACCAGACTTAAGAAAATGAAACAAACCAAAAAAGTTGCACTTGTTTTTGTCCGCTGCAAAATGGCACTAGTCAACGAAATTCTGCCTGTGTGCTGTCACCTGTCAGCTGATTATGACTCCAGACTCCTGAACTGTTTGCTGTGGTAGTATAGTTGATTTCGTTTTTAAGACATCTAAAATTAGGAACACTTTTTAGCATTGTTCGATGATGCAAATGTTTTGTCCAATTCTGTGTGTGTGTGTATATATATATATATATATATATATATATATATATATATATATATATATATATATATATATATATATATATATATATATATATATATATATATATATATATATATATATATATATATATATATATATATATATATATATATATATATATATATATATATATATATATATACATACATATATATATATATACATATACATATATACATTTACATATATATATATACATTTACATTCTACATATAAATATATATATAATATATATATAATGTATATATAATATATATATAATGTATATATAATATATATATATATATATATATATATATATATATATATATATATATATATATATATACATATACATATATATACATATACATATATATACATTTACATTCTACATATAAATATATATATGTATATAATATATATATGTATATATATATATATATATATATATATATATATATATATATATATATATATATATATATATATATATATATATATATATATACACACACATATATATATATTGTTAATTCAACTCTCCAAGGCCGAGAAGGCCACTACAGACAAGGAGGCTACTTAATTATGGTTACAACCCTCTCTCAACTCTATCTCCGAAACACGAACAAAGCCACTGCGAGGAGAAACAAGTTGAGCGCGGTACTACCAGGGACTTGGTGGGGATAGAACTCGGAACTTCTCGTTTATGAAGCAAGCGTTCTACCACTACAACATTACCACAATTAGATTTTATTGATAATAATTTAAGACTTTTTTTCTCTTCCTAAAGTTATTTAAAAAGCTAATCTCATTGATTTTCTATATAACCTTATTAACCGTGAATGAATGTGTATCGGAGGTAAACGAACAGTGTCTAAATTGATCTTAAAAATACCATATCATTTTTTTAAGTAATTTTATATTACAAATTTTTTTTTTCAGTTAACATCACTTGAGTATATAAAGTTGATATATCGTTGATAATACGCCTTCATCGTGTCCAATCGCTACATAGCTAACTCAAAGCTGTCCCAAGCCGAAATAATGTAGTTTACCTCCGATATATTGATATACCAGAAAGAAATGCTTTATAACAAGAAACGAAAAAATTTTAGAAAAGAAGAATTTTAAATTGGTATTTCTTCATTCAAGTTTAGCAAAATCATTGTGACTAAATGATTTCAATCTTTTTTTTTTTTTTGATATTCGAAGAAACCTAAATTCGAAATCTTTTTTCAAGTGAAGTTATAAAAATTGTTTTTCAATAATAGTAACTCATAAGATTAATAAAAGTATGTGTGCAAAAATTTGTCGCATTTATATGTAACTTATAGTATGTTATTGAGAGAAGGTAGAAGCCATTTTTATTGTGTATAACATACAAATAAAATGTAAAGACCGAAAAATGATTTGGTTTGCCGCAAATGAATCAGAGCAAGGTTGGACGGTGGTAAATCCTAATGTTTTATTGTATGCAAAATATTACTATATCCAAGAAATTATTTAACAATGCACTTTAATCGTTTGTTGGATTTTTTTTACTTTTAAAGTATTAAGCTAAGTAAAAAACTGTTGGTAATGTTAATAGCTGCATCTTTAACTATTTAACTGTAAAATGTATGCTTACTTGACATGTTTTACACATAGGGTGTTTTTTTTGCTAAATGAAAATGAACAAAAATCTGCCGATTTAGTATTTTTATTAATGTGTTACAGAAATGTTATTCTTGCATTGTCAAGGGCACCTATCAGTAGTTTATAGCACCTCCTAGAGTCTATTACTCAAAATGGCTATTTTAATCCGTTTTTGTGCTTACGATATAGGATCGATAATATTTTTTTACACATTGATATTAAATTGTTTTTGAATCAGTATGTTACGCTTAAATTTTGATAATATACAACTAATAATATACAACGAGAGTAATATATACCTATCAAGTAAACCGAAAACATAAATGCGTTTTCAAATAATGTTGCTTTAAATTATTATGATGATTAAAGCCAACGTTTTATATGATTTTTTCTTAAGAACAACAAGAGTAAACTTTGTGGTAGTGGTAATATTTGAGTTTACTTGTGTTTTAGACTTGCTACATCATCATTTTACATGTGTAGCATGATTGGATAGTCACTTAATGCAAATATTTGCATTTTTTAAAACAAACTAGTCATAAATGATGATTTTTTCCTAAAAACTAAGTTTCATTTTATGAAAATGATTTAACATTTAAATATTTAATATTTAAACTGATTAAATTTAATTAAATATTTAATATTTAAACTATTTAATATTTAAACTGATTAAATTTAATTTAAAAAAAAAAAAACTGTTTCTATTAATACCCTGGTTACTTGTAGACTTTAATATTTTGACTATTAAGTTTTTCACTATTTCCTTTTAAATTGTAAAAAACAACTAAATTAAATTGACTGATGATAAAATTATAATTGCATCTCAAAGAATTTTTTTTTTGTGGGGTGCGAAAGTATGTATAGTCATATATATGTATACGAGCACTACCACTAATCGACATTTTTTTAATTTAAACTGTAAAAACCTGTTGGTATTGAAACTGAGTATTGAAACTGGTATTGAAGTATTGACTGGTATTGGTATTGAAGTATTGACTGAGTATTGAACTGGTATTAACTGAGTATTGACTGAACTGGTATTGACTGAAGTATTGGTATTGAGTGAGTATTGACTGAAGTATTGGTTTTGACTGAGTATTGACTGAACTGGTATTGACTGAAGCAACTGGTATTGACTGAAGTATTGACTGAGTATTGAACTGGTATTGAAGTATTGACTGAGTATTGAAACTGGTATTGAAACTGTTGGTATTGAAACCTGTTGGTATTGAAACTTTTTTAATTTAAACTGTAAAAACCTGTTGGTATTGAAACTGAATATTTTTTTATTAAATTGAAATATCTGCAGAAATTAACTTAAAACAATAAGCATGCTATACTAGAGTGTAGAGTGTAATATACTAGAATGTAGAGTGGACCTTTTTAAACTTTAATTTTTGAAGGGTTTTTTTTTACCAGCGATGAGATTTAATCTAAAAACGTTTATAACCCGAAATTAGAAATTTAGAATAAATTTTCGATCGCCAAAAAGACATTAGAAAGTTAAGTAATCGATTGCTCAAGTATTGCATAACATTTTATGACCATATTCTCCTTTCTCAGTGGGGTTAGTACATTATCTTATTATATTAAACACTGACGAATAATCCTGCAGATTTTGGTTAATTTACGCCTATTTGTGCGTACCTAAAATGGTAATAAATTTACAATTAATCGCGTTACTGAAATATTCTTTTTTGGTTTGTTGAAAATTTATTGCTTTGATCAGTATGCTCTTTTGAAGCTGTTTCTTTTCTTTTCAACAATTTAAGCAAGTTATCTCTCTACTAAATAGATATATATAACATATGCCTTTGATTTCTCATAGACTTTATACCTGGCACTGCAACATCAAGAAAAATTGCTCAATAATTTTTTTGCAACGTTAAAGTCTTCGAATTTATTCAAATACGCTAAAAGAATGCTTCACCACTCCTGGGTCTGTAAATTTTATCAGATAAAAAGCAACCGTGACTTTTTGCCAATGAACAGATTTCTCATCAAATTCAAAAAAGGCAGGTCATTAGCTAGAGCAGCTTGCAAAAAATATTTTACGTAAAAAAAAAGGAAAATGTACTGTGACATCCTCTTAACCTTTTTTGTAGTAATATTTTTAGATAATAAATAGCTTTTAACATCTATCTTGCATAATTTCAGAACCGATATACCAAATATGAAGACATTTTTACCAAAGAAGAAAAAAAAGAAACTGCACCAGTCCTTACGAAGAAAGGTTTTTATCTCTAAGCATTTCGTTGCACATTTCTTTATTTCAAGCGCTTGTTGAAATTAAAAGTTAATTATTATTAATGATTAATATAGAAATAATCACTAAGAAATAATTAATCACTAAGAAATAATTATACACAATTTAATTAATTGACGATTTGTACTATTAAAACAAGAGTTTTTATAGTATAAATAATCATCAATAAACGTTCTTTAGTCTGATCAGGTAAAAACGTTTATTACATTCAATACATGTTCCAGTTATAAACAGAATATTGCCGCTAAAAGAAGACATTTTTCTCGATTAAATCATCGGGTTGTTGGTTTTTCCTTAAATAACTTTAAAGGACTAAAAATACTATTGAATAGATTTGTTTTCCAATAATATCTATCTATAAATGACACCATCCTAATAAATCATTAACTTATTATTATAAATAATTTTATGTCTATACCTACCATTATAATATTTTTTATTATTTTTTCATTATAATTATTATAAACATACTTATTATTACTATAATTTGTATTATTTTTGTTATCTAATCATTGAAAACTTTAGGTTGCCTGCTTTTATTTAAAGTCTAGCAGGAAGGACCAGGATTTATAGGTTTAAACCGTTTGAAAAATATCAATATAAACCAAAATAGTATTTTTTGAACAACTTTAAATTTACAAAATAGAAATACATCTTTAATTTAAATACTTAATATGAATGTACCTGTTTAAAAGCATAGAGGTACTTCTGAAAATTTTTTATTTATATTAAATTTACAGTATGTTATTTATTTGACACATGTCTATTTATTTTTTAAATGCGGCAACAGGTCAATGTGATATTATATATATATATATATATATATATATATATATATATATAATATATATATATATATATATATATATATATATATATATATATATATATATATATATATATATATATATATATATATATATATATATATATAATACATATATACAGCGCCGGCCTTAGCTTTTTTGACAGGTTAAGCAAAACTTGTGAACGCGCCCCTAGGTATATATGGGTGGGTTGTTACCATTAACAACGAGACCAATGCTCTAAAATGATGAACAAGAGTGCTAAAAGAAATATATAGTTTAATGCAAAAAGATCCATATTGTGCATCAAGTTTCTTATTTAATTAATTTTTTATTAAAATTATAAATTTAGACTTTTCATGATATGGGTTTATAGAAATGAGTGACTAAATAAATAGACAACGCAACGCTGCTTTTAAAATAACAAATGTTTTTATTAAACATATAATAAATCTTCTAACTATATAAACAAGAGTTATTAAATTTTAAAATCTAACTTTTCTAGCTTTTTTGTCCGCAAAATCTCTTATCAAACTAGAAAAATCTAAATTTTCAGCTATATCTTGCTCGATTGATAACATAGATAGAGAATTAAGTCGATCTTGCAACATGGTATTTCTTAAATATGTTTTGATTAACTTCAGTTTAGAAAAACTACGTTCTCCACTAGCAACAGTAACAGGTATTGTAAGAAGAATGCGCAGAACAATCCATGTATTTGAATAAAACTTGTAGACAATGTTTTTTAATAAAATTCAGTACAAAAAGTGGTGTCATCTCTTTTGTATTTATTTCATTTTCAACATTGCTTAATTTATCTTCAATAAAAAACTGCACATTTATTAGTTCGTCGCATAGCAAAGCACCATCAATTTCTGATTTTGTATTTACAGTTAATTTTTCTTGTAATTGTTTACACAATTTTAAAAGTTCATTCTTAATGGGCAAATTATCCAAATTAAATAAAAAACTCCATATATTTACATATTCATTAAGTTGTTCAAATCTTTCATTTATTGACGACAGACATGTATCTAATAAAGGGTTTAAAAATGTCACTTCTAGTTTCTTCTCGGGATTTCGAATTGGTTCGTCAGCAGCATTTTCATCATAATGACGTTTCACTCGTCGTACTCTTTTAAGCGGCTTAAATATTGCATCGATGTTTAACTCTTCAGCTAACTCTTTGGCATCAACCGTTGCTTGTTTAAAGCCAAACGTTCTGTAATTTTCCAAAAATGTGATGCATTTTTTCAACATTTCAGCGCACTGTACTAGATCCATGTCTTTGGCTTGCATTGCTTTACTAACAACGTTTATTTGGAATAGTACATTGTACCATTGCAATTAAAATTCTGCTCTGCTAATGTTTGCGCTTCGTGTGCAATATCGAGAGTTTTGGTTTCAGTTTCATATATAGTAATTAAAGCATCATGTACGCTGCTTATTTGGTATCGGATGGCTTTGAGGCTCTCAATTTTGGCTTCCCAACGAGTCTCGCATAATCGTTTAAGAGTGAAGTTTGTTGTATGACTAAGTAAAACATTCCAGCGTGAAGTTGATGCAGAAAATAATGTGAATAATCTTTGTATTATGCCAAAAACGTTAATGGAATTTAGTGAAGACTGCGCTGCGTC